GACAGGGTATCTCTATGTAGCCTTGGCTATGCTGGAACTCACTCTGTAGACCAGGCTGGCCTTGAACTCACAAGAGCTCCATTTGCCTCTTCCTCCTGAGTGCTGGGATTAAAGACATGTGCCACCAACAACCAGCCTCAATACTCGATTTTTTTATAACCATGATTCAAGGAAACGTGACAGATTCTACAGTTGTCCTCACTCACTAATATATAAAGATATCGTTCATCCTCTATAGCAATTAGGCAACAACATATTTTTTTGTTCATGTGTTGAAGTGGAAATACTTTCAAAATTACAGGTCTTAAGTTCATGTGAGATATTAGCCCTTGGGAAAAGGTAATTAATATGGGAAGGACAGAATGGAGAAAAGTACTATAGGTGTAGATATAAGGAATTATATTATATAGCTATAGTCATAAAGATAGCCTGGTTTGGTCATACAAATAGACTAGAGGATAACAGAATATGATAGAGAATCCAGAAAGAATACCATAAAGCTATCAAAACGCTTTGACAACGGAGGTAAAAAGATACATTTCAAAAACATGGCCTTCGGCTGGAGAGATGGCTCAGAGGTTAAGAGCACTGGCTGTTCTTCCAGAGGTCCTGAGTTCAATTCCCAGCAACCACATGGTGGCTCACAACCATCTGTAACGAGATCTGATGCCCTCTTCTGGACTGCAGGCATACATGCAAACAGAACACTATATACTTTATAGTGTTATATATATATATATATAGCCTTTTCCATGTCTGGGTCCATGGTCCTGCTGTAGCTGAGATCTGTGTTGATGTCCATGGCCTGTGTTATTACAGGAGCCCATGCAAACCATGCCTGTTGAAGTCCAAAGGCTGTGCTGAGCCAGCAATGCCCCTCACTGGCCCTGCTCCTCACAGGCTCAAGGACCCTGGCCTGCCATTCATAGTGGAGCCCCACCCCCAACACACAATTTGGAACGCTGGCCCCACCCATCATCTGAGGACTGGAGAACTCAGCTACCTCCCAGGCACACATCCAGTGCTTTGAGTTGGCATACCCCAACATCTACCCTATCTATGACCTGCTGGAATGAGTGAAGGGATTGGTCCTGTGGAACTATAGTCTTAGGATCACCATGATCCATGATGTGAGACAACGTTTTGGTGATGGTCCAGTACTGATGGTGTACCAGAATCTAGAGGCTCTGAATCTGACTTACCCAATATACAATGATCATTTGCAAGTAAAGGCATATGGACAAAAGAGTCTACTGAGTGGCACAGCACAGCTTCCAATGCCATAAGACAAATGACAGAGATGATGGAGAGGCAGGAAAGATGGAAGAACAAAGTGTTCTTTTTTTGTTTGCTTGTTTTTTTCTTTATTATTATTATCATTATTGTATTTTTTATTTTTATTTTTTATTTTTTATTTTTTTGGTTTTTCGAGACAGGGTTTCTCTGTGTAGCTTTGCGCCTTTCCTGGGACTCACTTGGTAGCCCAGGCTGGCCTTGAACTCACAGAGATCCACCTGGCTCTGCCTCCCGAGTGCTGGGATTAAAGGCGTCGCCACCACCGCCAGGCTGTATTTTTTATTTTTTCACTTTTCTATTTTTATTTCTTTTTAAATTTTCCTTTGGAGGACGTTACAAAGGTGAAAGGCAGATACAGAGGGACTGGGGTGCATAATGTGAAATTCACAATGAATCAATAAAAACTTATTTTAAAAAAATGACTTTTTCAACAAATGGTGCTGGCAAAACTGGATCCATCAGGAGAATGAAATTAGATTTTTATCTTTCATTTACATTAAAATCCATTCAAAATATATAAAAACGTTATTTAAAACCAGAAAACACACAGAAACCTAGAAAACATAGGGAATACCCATCAGGATACTGGGATGGGCAAGAACTTATGGATTAGAAAGAAAAGCACCAGCACAGGAACTAACCCAAGTATCAACAGATGAGACTACATGAAAATAAAAAGTTTTCGTTTATTAAAAGAAACAATCAGCAGAGCACACGGACACCCCACAGAATGGGAGAGAATCTGTACCAGTGACACTTTGGATAAGGGCTCATGCCTAGAATTTATAGACAATTACATAAATTAAATACCAAGGAAATAAAACTGCCAGTCATCAAATGGGCAAATGAACCAAACGGACAAATTTCAAAGACATATACACAAATGGCCAATAAATATTGCAAAAAATGTTCAGGATCTCTAAAATGCCATCATGGAAACACAAACTAAAACTACTTTGAAATACTGTCTCACCCCAGCAGAATGGCTGTCATCAAGTAACCTGATGACCAATGTTAAAGGAGGATGTTTTGAGAAAGGGACCCTCATTAACTGTTGGTGTATGTGGCGGAGTGTAAATTAATACAGCCATTGTGGGAATCAGTTTGGAGGTTATTGAGAAAAATTGAAGAGAGAATTAATGTATGACCCAACTATGTCACTCCTGGGAACATAACCAGAGAACTCCACACCCCAATATAGAGATATTTACACCACATGTTCAATGCTGCATTATTCACCATAGCAAAGTATTGGAATCAACCTAACTGCCTATCAACAGGTCAATGGATAATGAAAATGGTAAACATATAAAATGGAATACTATACAGCTGAAGAGAAACATATAATAAAAATTTGCAGAAAAACGGTAGACTCAAAACATGTAATATTAAGTGCAGTCATATAGTGTCAGAAAGAAGAAACCACATTTTCCCTCATATGCAGAATCTAGCCAACAATATGTGTACATGGAAAAAATGTATGTGTGGGCACAGCAGAACGTGGAGAAGAGAGAACAAGAAATGTTAATTATCAGGGACTGAATGCAGGTAATGAACACCAGGCATGAAAAAGGATATAAAGCTAAGTGACTTTCTAGCTCTAATTCTGTCACAGATTTTTTTTTTCCGTGGTGGATAAATTCATAAAAATATATTTGATAGAAAAATTTATAAAATCCCTTTGAGGCTGCAGAGCTTCTGTTTCCAATGACTAACTACATAAAAGTACATTGAGTTGTATACTCTTTAGGTCTGGTTAATTTTGGTGTGTGATTTTTTTATTGTAGTTGTTTGAACATTTTTCATAAAAAAATTAAAAAATTCAGAAGCAGAAAATTAAAGGCTCAGAATGTCTGAATATATAACATTTCTAGAAAAATAGTGGACATGACCACTGACCTGGGACATGTTTACTGGAGAATCAGCCATTTCTTTCTGTTTCTTTTCTTTGAGTTTCTCCTTCAGGAACAAGGAATAGATGACTTGCTGCCCTTTCATATAAGAGGTCAAAAGGAAAAAGCAAAAATTAATAGTGAAAGCTGTTAGAGAACAATGTCAAACTACATGAAAGACCCAAGCAACAGAATACAATCTGGGAGAGCATGGGATGACATTTAAAGCCTGAAGAGAAAATCACCATAAACAATATTGTTGCATGCTGGGCGGTGGTGGCATCTACCTTTAATCCCAGCACTCGGGAGGCAGAGGCAGGTGGATCTCTGTGAGTTCAAGGCCAGCCTGGGCTACGGAGTGAATTCCAGGAAAGGTCAAAGCTACACAGAGAAACCCTGTCTGGAAAAACCAAAAAAAAAAAAAAAAAAAAAAAAAAAAAAAAAAACCCAAAAACAAAAACAAGCCCCCCAAACCAATATTGTTGCATCCAGAAAAATTTTTATAATTGATGGAGACATAAGTGCATTACAAGACAGGAAACAAATTTCATGTGACAAATAGATAAATACAGGAGAACTGGGAAGACAAGCAAGATAGCAAACCACTAATTCTCACAGAGAAGGAAGAAAAATACTACCATTTATCCAAGAGCATCATCAGAAACAAAAACATAGGGAATAAAAACCCTATCAACAATATATCTAGCCACTCTGGAAATCAATATGGAGTATCCTCAATTAAATAAATAACTCCTCAAGTTAAATAAATCTAGCACATGACCCAGCTGCTCCACTCCTTGGTATATTCTCAAAGGACTCAACATCCTACTCCACAGATACTTGCTCAGCCATGTTCATTGCTGCTCTACTCACAATAGCTACAAAATGGAAACAAGCTAAATATCCTTCAACTGAAAATGGATAGTGAAAATTTGGTACATATAATCTATGGAATAGTATTCAGCTGTTAAGAAAATTGAAATCATGAGCTTTGCAGCTAAATGGATGGACTTAGAAAAGGTCATTTGAGTGAGGTAACCCAGGCCCAGAAAGATAGTCACAGCATGTTCTCTCACAGGAAGTTCCTAGCTCCAAATCTTCAGATGTGAGTCCACAACCTGGCGTGACTGCAGTGCCCAGAAAAGTAAAAAGAGAGCACTGTGGGGTGTGGGGGAGTAACAGAGATGGAATAACAGGGAACAAGTGATCTGAAGGGGGAAATGGAAGACAGGGGTGAGGACTTAACTATGGAGAAGGGACAGATATAAACAAAGAAGAAGGAGGGTACAATAACAGCAAGGATGTCTAAAAAGTCATAAGGAATCATATGATTATTCATCCACCAAATATGCTTATAATACATATAAGTCTGTGTAAGCATATACATTTAGAATGTAAATGAAAATTTCCCACCTGAGCTGATAATGATCCCACAAGAGCCATAGATTTTCTAACAAAAACAATAACACAGGCATTAGAAGCCTATTTTGAAATTGTTGGTCACAGCTGTCTAAGAGAGTCCCAAACATTGTAGCCTATTGCTGTCACCCAGGTTTGCCTCTCAGAGGTAGAAGGAGAGTTCCTGTTGAAGAAGCCATGCACTTCAGAGGACTCGGGATGGGTCAGAACTTAAAACCTTCCTCCTGTGGATCAGCTTTCATGGTACCAGAAGGCAGCATTCAAGCTTCCAAAGGAAGCAGCCAACCAACAGTTCTGCCCAGCTATGACACCTATGAACCACAACAATGATCTGCACGGCATGATAGCCCTAAGGGTGCTAGAGTGGCACACAGACCTTGGTGGTAACCAACAGCATCTTATTGCATTAAGACCCTCTCAACAAGAGGGAAATCATGCCTGGTTACTGGCAATCTTGCTAGTTTCCGTACAGTTATCAACGTAATGGATCTTGGAGGAGAACTTACAACCACTCACAGGAAGAGTAAATTCTTCTGAAGAAAGTCTTCTCATGCCTAGAATAGGAAAATCCTGAGGAGATCTTTCTTAGTGGAACTCTCCAGAAATATCTCTAGTGAAACAGAATGTGGCAAAACTGATTTCATGTTCCACTTCCACATTCACTTGATCCCCTTTCCACTCCTTCACCAATGTCTCCACCATACCTGGACCCTTAGCTACTGTCTCCTCTCTCCTCCCAGGCCACTTTGTGAGCAGGTCTGGGTGACCAGTGAGCCCTGCACATGAGAAAGAGATTGTTCAGGAAGCACCTGGATTTCTTACACAGTATTGTGCTCAGTGGATAAAGAGAAAACTAAATACAGCATCATACAAGTGATTCCCCAATTGTGATGTAATGTCAGAATACTGAGGACAATTAGAAAGCATTTTCAGTTAGTAGCGTAACTTGAATGCCACTTCCACTTACAGCTCAGTCAAATCTCAGGGACAGAAATGGGACTGAATGATTGGGATGAAAATATCATACACTTCTGACATTCTGAATTTATCATAGACCCAAGAAGCTTCACATCTCTCAAAGGGACACACACACTTGCAGCTTTGTGTGTCAAGAAATCCAAGGAGGAGCAAGGGAGAGTGCAGGCAAACTGTTCTCACCCACAGAAACCAGAATGCTGCAATTCTGCAACATCCAGTTTCTGTACAAAGCCTTCAGGGCAGGGTCCAGGCATTGCCCCTCCTCCTGGGAGAAGTCCACAGTCACACCGCTGGCTGTCAACACACCAGAAAATAAAACAAGTTATAAAGGTTGTGTTGGTGTACACTTTTAATGTCAGCCAAGGTGAGACAGAGGTGGGTAGAACTATGAGTTCCAGTCTAACCTGCTCTTCATGGTCAGTTTTGAGCCAGACAATGAATTCAGATCTCGAACACAAGAGCCAACAACAACAAACAAACAAACAAACAAAAAACCAAACCAAACAAAAAACAGTTTGGTCATGTGTCTAGGGACAGAGAGATTTTCTTTGACCAAGGAGACAAAAGACTATTGTAGATATCTTTCTGATGTAGATGAGTGATTATAATTATTTAAGAGATGCTTTCTAATATGTTTTCAATTCCTTCTTCTCCCCGCTCCCACCCACACAAGATAGGGTTCCTCTGTGTAGCCCCAGCTCTACTTAAACTTGCTCTGTAGACCAGGCTGGCAAGGAACTCCAAGATCCACCTGCTTCTGCCCCCCAAATGCCGGGGTTAAAGGCCTGGCTACCACCACCACGTGGCTTATAATGCCATTTCTGAGAAAATATTGTGACTTAATACCATAAAAAAGCATACTGTGCTTCCCCAGGCTCTATGCTTTCCTTTTTTTTTTTTTTTTTGGAGACAGGGTGTCACCACGAATCTTCGCCTGTCCTGGAACTCACTGTGGAGACCACGCTGGCCTCCAACTAACTCACTGAGGTCCACCTGCCTTTGCCTCCCCAGTGGTGGGATTATAGGTGTGTGCCACCAAGCTTGTCAAAGACATTTTTTAGAAGATTGTATTTACATCAGAGTGCATATGTCTCAGATGAAAAAATAATATGGTGGATAAAAAGTTTACTTTTAAATATTAATGTTTACAGCCATAACCTTGCAAATTGCAAAAACTATACTTTCCGATTCAATTACATTTACAGGCGTTCTTTTCATGACTAATATATAAAAGCTCTCCGGGAGTCTAAGTCCCTAATTCTATGCTAATCTGTTGAAGAGGAAAGTGGTTTAACATGGAAGTTAGCCTGGACAAACACAAATTTAAAGAGCTTTGCCCTTTCCACCGTCACAAAAAGAACCATGTTTGCAAATATCAACACATAAATTCAAATATTCTACTACATTATTTTTATAATATTTTGGCAATGAAGATCAATGAAAAAAAGAATCAGGATTAGTCCAGTTCTTATGACCTAAAATTTACGGACAAGGGTAAGACACACACAGCAGAACTTCAGAGCCGGCTTCCTTAAGAAACATCAGAGAAACTGCTCGCATCCCCGGTCTCTCCCCTCCCGTGTCCCAGCCCCGCAGCTCCTCTGACCTGGGAGGTTCCAGGGCCGCCGGGCTGCGGTTCCCGCCACTGCGCTGCTGACTGGTGACTTTCCCAGGCCGCCCCGCGCGACCACTGCGGCTCCGGGGAGATTTCAGGTCCCCGCGACCCCCCGCCTGGTCCGCACCCAGGTCTGCACCACGCGGTTCCCCACCTTGCAGAGCACCGAGCTCCTACAGAAATGGACACTTGACACTTCGGTCTGGCTCTTCACTCCACTTCCCAGTTCTTTCTCCCTGCGTTTCACAGCTTCCGTTCACGTCACCCCACTAACTCCTCCCACTTCTCCACTCCCCCCCCCCCCATTCAATGTTCAGCACCCAGCTGCTGTTTCCGGTCGTGTCCCCCCGCCCTTCTAGACCCGTCCCTCCCACCCTGTCTCAGGCTGCCTTCCACACAGCTCCAGCTGTCAGGCTGCCCTGCACCCGCTCTGCACAGCCTCCCCACATGCTCGCTGCCAGCCTGGACCAGAGCTGCATCTAGGAGGACGCTGCACCCTGGTATCTGACCTCCACAGTGATTCTGATACTTCTAGATAAATAACAAGCAAACTAACCTCGATTTAACTACCAGCCCCCTCGGGCTACAATTTATAGAAACGATAACAGGATAAATTCAGATGCCAGCGTCCCATCGCTAACACAAACATGACAAGCCAAAACCAAATACTGCAGTTGTGACTTGTGAGAGACATTTCAGGAACTTGGATTTTGAAAAGAATTAGGTGTCTCAAGAAGTCAGTGGTCAGTCCACCGCTATCAGCCCAGGGCTAAGCACATCCCGCGCTGTACCGCTCACACCACTAGATGGTGGTCTTGTCATTTTACTAACTCAGAAGCAAGTTCTCATGCTAAAGGTGGTTTTTAGATAAAATACAGACTTTTTTTTTTTTTTTTTTAAATGCAATGGTGAATGCAGAGACGCTTGCTGTGCCAGATGCAGTAAATAAGGAAGCGTCCAGTTATGTCACTCCTCTAACTTCTCCTCCGGCCTCTCTATCCTCCACCTACACTCACCTAAGGGCCAACACCCTCCCCTCCCCAACACCTGTCCCTCCCACTAAAGTCAGTGGCTCTGGGAAGGTGGAGGAGGAAGAAGGGAATAAGAAGGGAAAGAGGAGGAAGGGCTAAGACATGTCATTCTCTAGACTCCACACAGCTGTGGTAATCAGCAACCAACAGCAGCTGTACTGACCTGCATTGACCTCACACTAGACCACAATCAGTCTAGGAAAGGGAAAGTCACAAAGGGCACACCCTTTACATCTCAAAAGTTGCAAATGGATGCATTGTAGGAGAAGAATCACTGCCTTTAGCTGCAGTCCTCTGCTGAGCCCACCAGGCTCCAAAACATAGCTCCAAACCCACAGTCTCACATTGGCCCTGGTTAATCTCAGTGGGTCCCAAAGCAAAATGAACAGAGAGGAACATAGTAAAGATTTGTTGGGATTGTGGACCAGGATAGTAGATAGGTAGGAAATGAGAGTGGACAGTGTTTGAGGTGCACAGGCACAAAAACACACATGAAGTATGAATATATATGTGTGTGAGTATGAAATAGTTAAGAATAGAAAAAATATTTTTGTTTTTCGAGTTGGGTTTCTCTTTGTAACCCTGGCTTTCCTGGAACTTGCTTTGTAGACCAGGCTGGCCTTAAAATCTCAGAGATCTGCCTGCCTCTGCCTCAGGTATGCTGGGATTAAAGGTGTGCCCCACCCTGCCCAATTCAGAAAAAATTTTAAATGACCACATCAGTCAGTAATTTTTTTTGGTTGTATCAATATATGGTGAGGTTTATTTTTAATTTTTTTCAAGGCTGGGTTTCTCTGTGTAACAGCATTGGCTCTCCTGGAACTCCCATCATTTATATACAATGATGGCTTTGAATTTATGGAGAACCACCTATATCTGCCTCCGTAATGCTGGGATAAAAGGAGTGTGCCACCAAGATCCACTTATTATCTGGTTTAATATCAGCTAATACTAAGAGTCGGGGGAAACTTCTTTGTGTGTGTGTGTGTGTGTGTGTGTGTGAAGAAGGTTTTTTTTTGTTGTGTTTTTGTTTGTTTTATTTGATGCAGGGTTTCACTGTGTAGTCCTGACTGTTCTGGAACTCTGAAAACCAGACTTGCTTTGAACTCCAGAGTACTGGGATTAAAGGCCTGTGTCACCACTACCCAGATGTCAAGAAGTATTTTAAGTAACTTCACTGTTAGTTTTTCTCTGGAGCTCTGTTAGAATCCCATCGATCTGGTCAAGGGGTTGTTTTATGCTGGCATTTTATACCTGCTTCAGTCACATTGCTACTGATGTTCTTTTTACACATTTATTTCATGTTGTTGAAATTTTGTATGTTATATTCACCTGGAAATCAATCTATTTCAATTAGAGTTTCCAATTTAGTGTAATAGAAATCTTTAATGTCAGTAAAGAAAAGATCCAGTTGGTCGCTTATTTCCATCATGTAGACTGTGAGGTTATCTTGGGTAATTGTCAAGACATGATAACAGGATGGGTGGTAGTGGCACACACCTTTAATCCGAGCACTCTGGAGGCAGAGGGAGGCAGATCTCTGAGTTCCAGGACAGTCTGGTCTACAGAGTGAGTTCCAGGTCAGCAAAGGTTACACAGCAAAACCTTGTCTCAAAAAAAACCCACCAAAAAGACATAGATTCAAAAAGATATGTATAGTTGAGCAAGGTCATGCAAGTCTTTTAACACATTTAACTCAGGAGGCACAGTCAAGGGAAACTCTGAGCTCAAGGGCAGGCAAGTCTATATCATGAGTCTTGAAAGTAGACATTGTTAAAAAAAAAAAAAACCAAGGTAAATTGCTCCCTGAGGAATAGCTTTCATGATACCAGAAGCACATTCAAGCTTCCAAAGGAGGGAGCTAAATCAAATCGAAGTCAGACTATGAACCACATCAACTGTCACCCTTGCACAATAGCCCTAAGAACATAGTAGTGTCATACATTGGTGGTAACTGACACCTGTCTCATTGGACTTAAGACCCAGTTAACAGGAGAGAAACTAATCCAACAATGGCTGAATGTAACAGAAATTCCAAAAATCTAGTAGTTGCTTAGTTCACAAAGCTGGATGTCTTGGCTGGTCTTCAGTATCTGCTGGAATCCCAAAGAAGTAGGTTCTAGTGCTAGTAAAGGAATGGATATGCTATCAAGAAAATGAGCCAACAAACAGGCAATGAACAAAATATTTCCTATTTCCATGTCCTTAATAGTCTTTCAGCAGAAGGTGTGGTCCAAATTAAAGGTGTATCTTCCTTCCAGCCTCTTTATCCTGATCAAAGGTGTATTTCCTTCAGCCTCAAGATGAGGATTAATGGCATTTATCTTCCTATCTCAAAGTTCCAGAATAGAAGTGGATTCAGTCACTTCAAAACAAGCAAAATAGTCTCACAGGTGTGCTCTCCATTTCTGGATTGTACTTCATTCCAATTGACAACCAAGAATAGTCATCATACCTAGCCAGAAGCTTTGTCTGTAAAAATCTCACCAACACAACCTCCCAAATGTGAGCTGGACAAAGACAAGAACAATGAACATGCCAAAGTGGATGGGGAAAAGCCCACAATGCCTCAACCCCACACAGAGAACTAAAAGCAACTGGGGGATGGTGGGAGCAGGAGAAATAGTCTCCCCCAGAGAAGAGCACACTAACTAATTATTCAATACCAAGAGGGCAGCCTTGAAAACATTCATACAAGTTACATTATATGGACCGAGCAGTTTAATTATGGTTATATATGTATACAAATAGACATATATGCATACAATAAAAATTAATGAAAAAGATGCCATGAATTTGAATGCAAGCATGGAGGGTATATGTGAAAATTTGCAAAGAGGAAAGTGAGCAGAGAAATGTTATAATTATAAAATAAATTCAAAATTGTAATCTAAAAAATGTAAAACAAAAATAAAATAAATGAACAAACAATTAAAAACCCAGACTATATCAAAACAAACAAACAAGTTATATATTTATTAGAGAAATGAAGACTAAGTTTCCTTTAAGCCTCTATGGTGCCCTAGC